AAGACCATGCATCTACTTTAGATGGCTAAATCAGGAAGGACTCTAAACCAAACGAGCGTTTCTTAGTTTCCCACTTGTGATATGTCTATCATTCTCAACATTAACCCCAAACCAAACACCCCCTTAATAAGCCAACTCTTTATACTTGATATTACCTCCACGTTGTTTCCAATAAGGAGCAAATCATCTTCATAAAGTATTAGAAAAGCTAATGCTTCCCCTAGGATCCTTTATATACAAATACACACCATTCATCAAGGTTAAATCTAAAATTTTGATAACCTGATAAAAACTAATTTTTCATGACTTGGATGCTTGCTTAAGTCTATAAAATGGACTTTTACACTTGCATATTGTGTGTTCCTTCCTATTATCTATAAATCCTTTTTGGTTGTTACATGTATATATCCTCTTCTAAATTTTCATTCAGAAAGGTTAATCTGATATCCATCTCCACAAAAAAAATCTCATGATTGAGACTTGTGGCAATAACTAAGAGAATCTGGATAGACACAAGCATGGCGTCTGGCAAAAATTTGCCTCCAAACTAGTTTTGAAGGTTTTCACCTTCCTGTCTATCCTCTCTTTGCCTTCTAGGTCCACATACACCTAATAGGTCTTACACTCTTTGGTTCCTTGACTAGGGACCGAACATAGTTGAAATACAAGTATTCCACCCAATGGTTCATAACTTTGAGCAACATTTTGATCAACAATATCTTCTAATGCATTATCGTAACTTGTGGGATCAATGTCACTCAACAAAAGGTAACTCGAGGGTTAACAAAGTTCTCTCCCACTACGAATGTAACGTTATAGACCTTGTGTATCTACAGCTAGATCCAAATTTTGGTTCAGGTGGAGGATATTCAATTTCTTAATGATCCACATATTATGTGTTGACAAATCCTTGATATTGTTCTTCTACATGTGGTACTAATATTTCTACTAATTTCTCTTATATATTGTCATGTTGAATTTTCAATTAGTGTTCTCGTGTTTGTTCATCCAGAGGTATATATTTTCCCCTCTTTGAACAATCAAGGGAATAGAGGATGGAGCTTATAGAGATTTTGAAAATTCTTGATTTGAGATAAGTCTCATCAAGAATAACCTTACACATGAGCTTATAATTTTTCATATAGTCCTCTAAGAAAGTCACATGAATGCTCTCTAAAACCATCTTATCCTCTGGATTAAATAAGATCTAATCTTTGGTTCTCTTAGGGTAGCCAAAAGATATGTACACTTCCGTACAAGATTTTATCTTATTTGACCGCTATTATAGAACATGTGCCAGAGCATCTTATTTAAAATTAATGAATAAGAAGATTTGAATCTGTAGAGGCTGCTTATCTTTCTTGGAGCACAAACTCCACATGTGAATTTCCTCATGTTAGGAATATTAATCCGAGAAGGAACTACACTTTGACGGTTTGATGGTACACAGTTGTTAGAGTGAAATATTGCATCCTATTCGTTTCCCACGACACACGTAAATTTTCATTCTTAAGTTGGAGGAAAATGTGTCCTTCTCAATTTCCATTTTGTTGAAACTAGGAGACTAAAGAGGACCTCTTCGGGTATCATTTCTATTTAAACAATGATTATTCTTCGGTCATTTCTATGTAGGCACGAACTGATGGCATGAAAAAAATCTAAAACATATGAAAAATACAAGGCCTCTGAATTCAAATGCTCTCTTCCTCTTTCACGTCAGTTGTGGGCTAAATCTTTATAATATTGTTTTTCAGCTTTATTACCTTTTGATTAGTGGAATTTATCTCTATTCTGTTTTGGTGTTGTTAAAATTTAATGACAGAATCTGAAAATTTTATGAAAAGAGACGAATAAGAACTATAATATAGCAGTGGATTCATTCTAAATCAAATTTGATGAACTCTCAAAGTTTTCATCATATATGAATAATAATAAAAAAGAATAATAGTAAACTTATGTTATGCTATACTTTTTTTTTAAGTCTGAATGTAATTTAAGATAAATGTTTGATGAATCTGAGGGGGTTAATTGCATATCTGAACCCTTCCTTAGCTCCACAACTGATAAAATTGATGAGATAATTCAATAGTTGAGAGGATATATGAATCACACTAATATAAGTGAAGGAATATTGCAACTTAATTTTTTAGGGTGTAAATTATATATAAAGTAATGTTGGAACTATTATTTTATTTTTTTAGATATAGGATATTATGTCTATCTTTTTTTATAATTACTTTTTTTTATAAACTTATAATTACTTTAAATACCCTTCTCTAATATCATTAGATCATAATTTCAACTAACTTTCATATTTTCTCTCTCTAATTGAGATTTTGATCTAAGGATATTGAAAAGGAATATGTAGGGTAAGCATTAAAAAAGTAGGCATAATATCCTATTCATTTTCTTTTTCATATCTACTCTATATACTCCTCTCAAATACTATTAGATTATAATCTCAATTAATCTTCATATTTTATTTCTCCCTTTAAGATTGTGATCTAACAGTGTTGGAAAGTAGAAGATAGAATAGATATGAAAAAAATAGACAAAATATCATATCCCTAAAAGAAAACATTTGAAATATATTAAAAGCAAAGTAAACCTTGATTGGAAATAATCTACTCCCAAAGCAAAGTAGACCTTTGTTGAAAATAAGGAGGTATCCAAGGACTTCCATGATATAGATCGCGGTCTTTTTACTTGTGAATCACTTTTGGAAAATGAATCCATGACGTTTAGTTTTTTTTAGCTTTAGTTGATATATTTTTATTTTTATTATAAAAATATCATATTATTATTTTTTTTTTTTGGTTTCCCAAAGTATTCTCCAACCGACAGCCGAAGAATAATCCTTTCGCGGTGAGAGATCACATTAAGTGGGTAAACCTCTCCCAACAAAGCCTTTTCCATACGCACGACCAAGGATCGAACCCCTGTCAACATGCTTAAGGAACCCAGATATCTACTAAGGGCTTTATTGGTAATTATTTTATATTTTTAATATGTTGAAAAAGAATAATAATTTTGTTTCTTATATTCATTATTTTATTTACAAATTGTTAAAAATAAATAATAAAATTGTTAATAAATAAAGATATGAAAAATGAATCGGTGACGTTTAGTTTTTTTTTAGCTTGAGTTGATATATTTTTATTTATATTATAAAAATATCATATTATTTTATATTTTTAATATGTTGAAAGAATAATAATTTTTTTTCTTATATTCATTATTTTATTTACAAATTGTTAAAAATAAAAAATAAAAATGTTAATTAATAAAGATATATATATATATATATATATATATAGAGGCAGGATCCTTTGACACCAGTGTCAAACTTAAAGTTTGACACCTCATCTTAGAACCGTTAGATAAAAAAAATCGATGGTGTCATATGCTTATAAATCAGAGTCGTTGATCTTTTTTGATCTAACGGCTCTTACATGAGGTGTCAAATTTTAAATTTAACACCGGTGTCAAAGGATCTTGCATCATATATATATATATATATATATAGGGGTGTTCATCAACCGATCCAAACCGATTCAAACCGCGGTGACCGAACCGAATAAATCGAAAATCAAAATATTGAAAACCGAAAAAAAAATCGCAAATTTTAATTGGATTGGATCAGTTTTGGGATTGGTTGATGAAAATCGATCCAATCCAAACAAATCCAATATATTAATTCCCCTCGACATACTTGGATCTTTCCCCAATCTTAGCCCAAAATTTTCTAAACCCAAGACCCATTAATCCATCAACTAAAGAAAAAATCCAGTCACATCTCATCAACAAAATTTCATCTATGAGCTTCATATCTCATTGTCCAATATATATATATATATATATATATATATATATATATATATATATATATATTATTGTTTATTTAGGCTTTTGTATTTCAAAAAAAAAAAAACTACAAAGCAAATATATATAAAAGATCTTATTTGCACAATAATCATGAAACAAATTTTAGGATTTTCAAAAAATCAAAAACCGATCTAATCCAAACCAAAATTTTTTGGATTGGATCGGATTTGAAAAAAATCCAAACCGAAGGGATTAGATCGGATGATTTTTGCTTCCAAAATCGATCCAATCCAAACCGCGAATACTCCTATATATTTATATCTTTATTTATTTATTAACTAAGTAAGTTTACTTTGTTCACTTTGTTAGTCACTAAATTACATTTATATTTGTAGCTTGATCAACACTTTTTGATCCAATGCTAATATTGCAATAATCTATCTCCTAATCAAGTGCTTGATGATGAGTTTCTTTTCTTACTTTTTGGATTGATCAGTATTTAACTGGATTGGTACTCATACTGTGGGAGATTATGATAGCTGCAAGACAAAGGCAAGTGCATTTGGAAGAAATCTTACCGAGGCCGAAGTCATTGTTAACATTTTGCACAGTGGCCCCCGCTGCTTCATCTGCACAGTGGGTGAGCACTGCTTAAGAGGTATGAAGTTTAGCATCAACATTGAGTCAGGTATTGCTGCTCCTCCAGTTGCTCCACCACGTGACTCCTCTGCCCCTACACTGCCCTTCGGAGCCTTACCTGTGATTCTATCCACCATAGTTAGCATATATCGTTGCCCACATCTAATTGGACAACCTAGAATTTTGTAGAGCTATAGCTGTGATTCATTGTAAATTTGGAGCTTTGATTCATTATAGTTTGTAATGTTCTTTCAAGCATGCATTGTTCATTTGTACTATAATTCATATAAAATTGTTTGGCAAGTTAATTTCAATATAATGCTTAATTGCAATTTGTAAATCATGGTTCTACTAAAAAGAGTTGGGGTTAGATGTTAAAAATGTGCACTTATACATGCTCTTCTAGTTTTGAATTTGTTTCCGACAAAATAAATAAAAAAAAGTGAGAATTTGGTTTTATTGAAAAAGTCTGAGCTCAAATAAAATTATGACTTTAACGAGAAAGTATGACCGCTTGCACAAGTGTCTTTTCGGATAAATTTTTTAATCTGATAATTTATTTATCACAACAGCAACTTAAATACATACCACTAAAAGAGGAGAATATATAACTGGTCCTATCCACTATATAGACTTTAATCATCAACTAACAATTGACAGAATAGAGTGTACACCAGAATAACATTGGAGAAAGCGGCTGTTTGAGATTTTTTTTGGGATTTCAAATGTAGTCACCACAAGGCCTTATTACTGTAATATCACATGCTTTTACGTTTCTTTGTTGCATAGAAGCAAACTTAGCATCTGAGTCTAATAGTACTATCTGCCCACCATTTGAGTGATGGTTGCTTCATTGACTGAAATACTTTGTAGGGGTTGAAACTCATTTACTTCTTCCTCATCTCTCACTTTTGAAAATGCAAGCTTTTTGGAGATGGCTAGAGAGTTATTATGATTTCTCAACATTGAATAAACTTCAAGCATGGAAGGCCTATCATTTGCATGTTCTTGGACGCATAATAAAGCAATTTGCATGCATCTCATTAGTTTGCACGGTGAAGATGTATCATCAAGTGCAAGATCCACGAACTCCATACCCTTTCCTTCTTTCCATAACTCATAAGCCTGCACCCATTAAACATCAAACATCAATGAATTGATATAAAGATGTTCAAAAATATGAACAAAATAAAGGAACATAAAAATATATCCAATTTTTTCCACCTAAGGTTGTAGAAATTACTTACATATTCCAAGAGCTTTAAATCTTCGTTCTCTCCATAAAAGCCAGCTATCTTCTTGCCACTTATAATTTGTAGAAGGAGGATTCCAAAACTGTATACATCAGATTTAGTGGAATACACACCTTCCTTAATGTATTCAGGAGGAACATAACCACTGCATCATAACAAATTATGGGAACACCAAAGTAAGTAGTTAAAAATATAATTATTGAAAGCTCAAATTGTGGAGTCTTATGATCATCAAAATACTCACTATGTTCCCACAATGTTGCTAGTGTTTGCTTCTTGTTCATCTTTAGTGAATATTCTTGCCATCCCAAAGTCTGAAATTTTTGGCTTCATCTCAGAGTCTAATAGAATATTGCTAGCTTTTATGTCTCGATGAATTATGGTGAATCTTGAATATTCTTGAAGATAAAGAAGACCCTGCGTAACTCCTTCAATGATGCCAACACGCTTATTCCAATCTAACATATGCCGTCTAATAGGGTCTGTGTAGAATTGATGTATGACAAAAGTAATGTGATTATTAAAAAATATATATATCAAGAGATTCAAATTTGATTTTATGTTCTTCTCAAATTGGTGATTTTTCTCATCAAATTTTGCCCCTTCCATTATTTTTGCAACATGCAAAACATATAGTAAATCATGTAATTTTGATAAAAATGATACAAAATGGTTATATCTAATAGAATGCAGGCGTGAGCACTTGTGTTAATTTTCTTTATCCCTCCTTTTAACAAACATTATCAAATGAATTCCATCATTTAAGACCTTAACTTAAAAAGTGTGATGCATATTTATATTCAAGTATATATAGGGTTTAAGGTTGCAAAGGTATCAAACCAAAGAGGTAGAAGTCCAGGCTTTTATTTTCCATGTATTCGTACACCAGCATCTGCTCTTCTCTTTCAATGCAGAAACCCAACAACCGTACAAGATTCACATGTTGTAACCTTGCAGTAACTGTTACCTCATTTTTGAATTCCTCAAAACCTTGTGTAGAAGCTTTTGATAATTTTTTTACGGCTATTTCTTGACCATCAGGTAGGATGCCCTGGAGGAACGAACACTTATGGTTAGAATCTTGACTATGCTAATTTGTCATTGCAAGAGTGACAACATTCCACAGGAATATGATTTTATAAAATTGATATAGACATTAGAAATAATTTTGGGATGAAGGGGTGTCAACAATATAGTGAGATAGCACTAAATTCGATGGAAAATGTTATATTTATAATTTTTTTCCTTATCACCTCTTACAACCAATCTTCTTCTTGTTGAATCAAAACCAAATTAACGGTTACAAAATGACATCAAGTGAGAGCTATTGATTTAATTTTGATCCAACGATAACAAGATTGGTTCTAAAAGACTAAGAGGTGGCAAGAAAAAAATAATAATAAATATAATGTATCCTATATTTGAATAATTGTTATCAGAAATATTTAGGCTTAGGCAATTTCCAGAAGAGCGAAGAATACACAAACTAGTTTGTAATAATTTTATTTAGTTATAAATAATGAGAACAAAAAGGACTAAATACTTGACCACTTCAACCAATAGAAAAGACTACGGTTGAAAATATGCCAAAATCACTAGTTGTTGAAGTAAAGGCACTTGAATGGTTCTCTTATTAAGATTTTACCTTGTAAACAGGACCATAACCACCATGTCCGAGCTTATTTTCATATGAAAATTTATCTGTAGCCGCTTCAATGTCAGAAAATCTATAGACATGTAAATCAGGAGCATCCCCATGAAAAGGTCCTGCAGCTTCTTTATTCAATGTAAGCGGAGATTGTTTAGCAGCATTAACCGTCCCTATATATAGAATTTAAGGATGTTAAATAGATGCAAGTCAATTTCTTCATGGATGGACATTTTCACTCTTTAGTCATATCAACTCGAAAATCGAAAATAACTGTACCGGTTGGTTTGAATATTCTCTTCCTTAGATAGAAGATAATGACACCTAAAATGAGAATAACTATAGCAGTTATACTCAAAATGATCGCTAATAATTTCCACCCGTCCTTTTTGTCTTCGCCAACCTCTTCAGCTGAGAATGCAACGGTAAATATGAGTTAGATGGAGCTGTTCAAATTATATATATATATATATGTCATATTGCACAGGGCTTAAAATATTTTATTTATGTCCGCACACAAAGTGTTGGGAGTTTGGGGGCAATGGCCTCGAAATTTAATTTTTAAAGAAAATTTTAAATGCATTAAAAAAACAAAAAGGAATGTGCACTCTTTCTCATCACTATTTACCATGCAGTGTTCCTCTTTTACTTGACAAAGAAGGACAAGGTATTTATCTTATAACCCCACATTCATAATATATTTTTTTAACTTTTTTTACTAAAATTAATACTTTTTTAAATTATATTAATAACAAATGCTAAAACGGTCCTAGACTTTTGTTTACAATAAAAAACCCAACTGTAACATAATTTTTTTCTTCAAAAATTTGTGACCGCAGTTGCAGTCACTTGCAATAGTATAAGTACGCCACTGATAGTGCAAATGCTGTCTACTAGAGAACATATATTCTCCCATGGCTAAAATTTAACTCTACACGATCATTCTACAATCTGCATTAAAGATTAGCTCCTTAAACATATGACAAAACAGTGACAAAGTGATTATGGTCATTTACTATGCTCATGTGGTTAAGTTTATGCGTGCATGGTAAGTTTTTTAGCAATATTTTTGGCTGACTACTATTAACATTTTACCTCATTCTTGGTATAAATTAAATGAGAAAAGTTCTTCCAATCCCCCATCTGCAAACAAAATAATATAATTTTCTAATTTTATTCTTTGAACTATATTAACTAATAACTATACCAATAAACCTTACCATGAAAACAATATTATTTATTTTTTGATGTATGAATAACTAATAATTAAATAAGGAAAATAGAATAAAAATAAGCTAATTAATATAAAGGTTTAGGATAGGAGATAGACAGAGGGTGATGATCGATTATGTCACTTTTCTGTTAGTAGCGTAGCAAAAATTAAATTATATAATTGATCTAGCTGAAAAAACAAATCATAAGATTTTATAGTTCATGGTAATTGTTTGCAAACAATCTAAAGCCCTTCAATAATCAAATTAAATTTTGCAAAAGCATTAATTACCAAGAGGGGTAGTCAATTTTATTTTCCAGACACTAGTTTTTGCAATATCTAAACTCAGGGAAACGAGATCAAAATTCTCATCAGCTAGACTAGATATGATTTCTCTTCGAAGATTGTCATCAATTGTTTGATGATACAGCACAAAACTAATTTAAGAACATTGCAATAGAGAATTCAGATGTTGACTAGTATTGATTAATTAATTAGAACACATGTTCGAGATTCTTGGCATGCAGAAGGAGAAGCAATATTTGAATTGGATTTGATATTTGTCGGATCTCTGACCAGTATTCTTGAAGGGGCATGAAACCAGTTTTAGTTCCATTTTCTTGAAACCAACAAGGCAGTCCATGAAACAAAAAAATAAAAGCACATTATCTAAAGCTATGTATCAGGTAATTAGAACTAGAGCTGTAAATGGGTTGGGTTAGGTCGGTCTACAGGGACTTATAATCTAACTTATATTAGATCAGACTTAGCCTATTACAAATAGTAAAATAGAACAAGTCTAGACTTTTAAATAAACCTATTTATAGGTCATAGGTTTTTTTTGTACATATCGAGTCTCTAAGTCTACGGGCGGATCTATATTATATTATTAATTTTAAATAAAATAAATAAAATTATTATTTTAATAACTTTGAATAATAAAATAATATTATTTTTTTAATTGTTGAATGTTTAATAGGCTTAAACAAGCTAACAAATTTAGGCCAAAGCTTTTATTTTTTAAATATATGTCAGGCCGTAATTGTAATTTGGAGTCTACACATACTAACAGGCCAGGTTAAACTCAATATTTTTTACACAGACCTGATCTATTTAAATCAAAACTTAACCTATTTACACCTTGACTAAATTTTACAAGTCATAAACCAATGTTAATTAGTTCTCTCTCTCTCTTGCCATATATAATTTTAGTTCTATAACTAGTAGAGTACGATCGATTCCCCAAAAAGAAGAAGAAAAAATGGCCCCAAAAAAAAAGGGAATTTCAACAACATAGAAGAGTGACCAAAGTTAATTTACCTGCTGCGGTTGTAAGTGTCCATTTGTCGTCATCATGGGAAACTTGCCATACATGGTAACCAAGTAGCTTCTTTTCCCTGGCATATGATACCTTCTTTCGGACAACCTCAACGTCGTCAAAGCCTATCCAAGTTGATCCAAATGAACAGTAGTTTGTTACGTAAGTGTCATTATACATTACTGCAGCCCCATTTTTCTGAATATCATTTTTTATGTCCTTATAGCTTTTAGATCCATCATGATCATCAAATGCTGGACCTGTTGCTGGTGCTCCTATTGAGTTGTTATTGGGGTTTTGAAGTTCCCAACCATATCCATAGAAAGGCAAACCCAAAAGCAACTTGCTAGGTGATAAACCCTTCCTAATCCATGCCGTGATATAATAGTCAGTGTTGATATCACTTGCAGGGTCATATAAAGCTGAAGGTGCACCAGTGAAGTTTTGTTTCCAGGGTGTGTGATAATCATATGCATTAACATGTATCCAATTCAAGTTACTTTTGATTGACTCAAGTGGGTACAAATCAGGTGAAGCTCGAACAACTGCAGTCAAGATCAATTCTTGAAGTGTGGAGTTTGTTTCTGCTTCAGATTTTGCAGCAGCTCTCCATTCTTGGAAAAGTTGTCCCAAATTGTCAGCATCAGAACTTGTCTCAATGGAAGTCCAGTACAAGTCCAGGCCCTGAAATCCATAAAGCCTAGCCATTCTTATTGAAGATTGAATGAAGGGTTTCCTTGAAGAAACATTGGTAATCATGGATTGGATGGAAGTCCGGTTTTGGTAACCCCCAATGGAGAGAAGTGTAGTGATGGATGGGTTCTTGAGTTTGAGAGTGCTTGTGAAAGTAGAAAAGTGTTGCTCATTTGTTGAGGAGACAGAGAGCTCAAAGGTGGAAGTGTTCACCTCAGCAAAAGTGCATATCAGGTGAGTATAGAGGGCAGAGTTTATCTCTGATATGGGAATTCCGTCACTGCTATAGTACCAGTAACCAATTTTGAACCATGATTGAGCTTCTGAGGGTTGGAACTTCAGAGTGCAAAGGAAAACTTGAAAGGATAGGACAAGTGCAATTCTGGAAAACATTACACCAAGTTTTTTCAGAGCTTCAGATACCTTTCCTCAGAGATATTCTTATCTTATTGCATACACACACTCATAACTGGTGGACTCAAAATGTAGTTAAGGACTAACACCAAATCTCTTTCAATGGTTTAAGAAGACTAATCTTTCTTTCTTTTTTGGAAGTTTTAGAAGACGAAGAAGAAGACTATTCTTTAGTCTTTGAGATGGGGATAAAGAAAAATGAAACGTGGTCCATATCTATACTTTAGTTGTTGATTATAAAAAGAAAACATTAGTTTCGTTTTTTCTTTCTTTCATGTAGGCATTTATATATCTTTTATAGTAAATGTGAAATTTGGGGTTCAATTCTACCATTGTTCGAAATGAAAGGATGTTGAAATCCGGCAATAAAAACACAGTTAGAAGTAAAATAATAAAAACGAATTTTGATTTTCTCGTAATAAAAAGCGATTATGTTATTTGATCACAGTCACTCGTTTAAAAATCATATATTTTTCTCTCTCTTACATCATTATCAATGAGTGGAAATAAGTAGTTGTGATCAAATAAAAATGATCACTTTTTCACATGAGAGGATCCAAATCCAATAAAAATTAGGTACAAATTACAAAAAGGAAAAATATCATTACACAACACATTTAGACAACTAACCAAAAATAAGGAAAATATAAATAAAAGAGATATTAAAATGACATATATAAATTAAATATTAAGAAATGTTATACTTACAACATATTTTTGTTTACAACCATATCTTGATCATTGATTTTCGCAATCAACGGTTATTATTTTTGACAAATCAAATTCATTAATTAATTATTAATTCTCAATAAATGATAATCGTTGATTGACGAAAATCAATGATCAAAATATGGTTATAAACAAAAATAAATTGTAAATATAACATTACTACTCTTAAATATTAACGTTAAACTTATAATTTAAGTTGTGACAATAATTTTATGTCACTAGATGTATTGGAATAAGTCAATGCACCAACCAACTGCGGCTTGAAGTAGTGGTTGTACTTGTACCTAAATGAACTGGTGTGATGTGAAGTTCGATGTTCAATACCAAGGATTTACTTGTCTTTGACAATTCACCCAACAAATTCAATAAAATCACGCACTCAAGAGGTGCTTAATTGTTAGGTAAGAGATACATAACATATATGTGCGCAATTCTTGTTGGGCATTTTAAGAGATGCGTAACATATATGTGCGCGACTTCGTCAACTGATTCTATTCAGCAGCAGCAAACAGTGTATTTTTGAAAAAATAGTAATCAAAGCAACCTGCAAAACCTTCTGGGACTCATTGATAGTAATAATGCAGTTTTTGAAGACACGCATTAAACAGTGTATGTTTGATGAATTTGAGGGGGTTAATTCCGTATATGAACCCTTCCTTAGCTCCACAACTGATAAAATTGATTACATAATTCAATAATTGAGAGGATACATGAATCACAACAGTAATATAAGTGAAGGAATAGTGCAACTTAATTTTTTAGGATGTA